ATGTCAACCCCCCCCCCCCTCACATCAGCCCCTACACACAGATACGTAAGCATACGGATGGCTATCTGCCGGCTGCCCGGGGCTCGGCCATGGCATAGCCATCCCATGATCAGGTCTCCGTCTCAGCGAGTCCCTCGAGCGGGTCAGCCGACGGCTGCTTCTGCGCTCCACCAGACGATGACGGCCCGCCCCCCCGGCTGCCCCCTCCCCCTCCCCCCGCCCTCTTGCTGTTGTTGCTCTCGCCCTCCTGCAACACCGCAAAGTCCCACGACGGGCCGCCCGGACCGCCACTAAGACACACAGAGACACGACAGACCGACATGAGTATGGTACTGCTGCGGCATGGTGTGTGTAGGTTGTTCATGCCTAGGTGGTGCAAGTAAGTCTCTTACCCGCCCTGTGCTTGCGCGCTGACAGGTGGTGCACTGGTCCTGCCGTCGAGTGAGGGCAGCCCCCCGAGGAGCTGGACGAGTGCCTCCCGTCCGCCGGCGGCCTTAGCGAAGAAGCGCTTGTATGGGTTGGTGGTGAGGAGGGTGTCCATGGAGGGTCGCTTGGCGGGGTCCTTCTGCAGGCAGGCATTGACCGTGTCGGCGAAGTCCTGGTCGACGCCGCCCTGGGCGGCGCTCAGGTGCTGCGGGTCGTTGTGGATGATCATCATCATGGCCTTCAGCGGAGGCAGACGCTGGAACGGCGCCTGACGGACGGACATGGTAGAGAAGGATGTGTGGGTATGGTGTGGGGGGTTTGTGGTGGTTTGAGTGAGGTTCACGGACGGACGCACCTCTCCTTTTGCGAGTTCGAGGGCGACGATGCCGAACGACCAGACGTCAGCCCGCATGTCGTAGCCCTGCTCCTCGCCGCCCTGACTCTACTCACAACCCACATACAACACAACACACAGATGAGTGAGGGAGTGTAAGCATCTGTGTGTGTGTGTATGCCAGCAGTCAGCTGACCGGTGCGAGCACTTCGGGTGCCATCCAGCAAGGTGTGCCGGCGAACGTGTGTCTGGTCTTGACCTCCTTCAACGACGCCGACACGCCAAAGTCAGCCAGACGAACGTCCCCTAAAGACACACACAGAGACAAACCAGACCAATAGACACATAGCACAGAGAGACGCTGGTGTGTGTGTGTGTGGTATGGCTGGCCGACCAACCATTGGTGTCGAGTAGTATGTTGCCGGCTTTTAGGTCCCTGTGCATGATGTCGTTGTCGTGCAGACACTTGAGAGCCGTCGCCGTCTCCCGCAACACATACGCCAGCAGTGACACATTCTAACGCACCAACCACACACACACACACGCACACACACGCGTAGTCAGATGTGGGCCGATGAGTGATGGCTACTGTGTGTGGGTGGCTGGGCTGGGCTGCTGACAGACCTTAAATCCCCCCGGTGCGCCGTACTGCATGACGTTCTCGCAGGAGCCGCCGGCCATGTAGGGCATGACGAGCCAGAGCTGTGTCTTGGTGGCGAAGACCACGTTGTACTTGATGATGTTGGGGTGGTCCGGCACGCTCTGCATCGTGTACATCTCAGTCTGACCAGCATTAAGACACACAAAGACACACACACACACACGGGTGTCAGAATGTTCAGAAAGCTTGTGTGCTCTCTCTCTGTCTGACCTTAATTTCTCCCATATTTGAGTCGGGTGGGAACTGCTCCAGCTCTGTGACCTTGATGCCGACATTCTCGCCCTTGTGCGGACCCTCCAGCACCAACGCCTTAAACACCTGACACACAGACGCACACACCACACGGTTGAAGAGAGAGAGAGAGAGAGAGAGAAGAGCCGCCTGGCGTTGGCACAAGCAGATCCCTCATAATCTGACCGTGGCGAAGGTGCCATATCCGACAGGAGCCGTCAGCTGATATCCTTCGGGCTTCACCGGCCACTCACTCTCCTTCTCGGCTGCTGGTGCAGCCATCCTCAGTATGAGCACAAAGGCCGATATATATCTCCCGCTCACAACAGGCAAGCTATGCAGGCCGGCAAGGGAAGCAGGCAAAGAGGCTTCAAGGCAGTCACCTTCGCCGCATGACTGGCTTGACTGACTGTTTCAGCTCAAGCAGTTTGTTTCAAAGCGACCACACACACGCGCAATGCCCAAAGCACCTTCAGCGAGACCCAGATGCACACCTTCTTCGTCCCTTTTCCTCTTCCCTTCGAGAAGTCTGCGAGCTAAGCCGCGAGCAGAGAAGCTTTGGTGCGCTTGGTTTGCGCACAGCAGACAGACAGACCAGACCGGGGGAGGCAGCAGGGCAGGTGAGTGCGAAAACCAAGCGAAGATCTGATCTGCAAGCCAAAACAGCAGTGGAGTGACTGACCTGAGGCTGGTTTGCCTCTTAATTGCGTGGGGTGCAAAGGTCGGTGACGATGGCAGGCGGGTTCGCTACGGTGAAGCAGGTGGTCTCGGGCGACACATTCGTCCTCGTCGGAGCACCCAGAGGCAAGCAGCAACCAGATCATCACACACACACACACACGGACAGAAGCAGAGCCGAGAGGGGCGGATCACTGTGCGTGTGGTTGTGGTTGTGATTGTGATTGTGTTGCTTTGATCTATCTTGCATCTGTCTGTCAGGTGGTCCTCCTCCAGAGAAGCAGCTGTCGCTGGCCTCCATCATAGCGCCGCGGATCGCCATGAAGTCACTCACCAAGGAAACACAAGACGAGGTACGCACATACGCGGTGTGCAGGTCGTCACATTATCCTTGCTGGTGCATGCGCCTGTGTGCGTGTGTGTGTGTGTGGTCAGCCGTTCGGTTGGAATGCTCGCGAGTTCATCAGGAAGAAGATCATCGGCAAACAGGCAAGCAGGCTGAGTGCCGGATGGATGGACGAGCCCCTCGCACATGCATTGGTATCATGCGCGCGTGCGCGCGTGTGTGCGTGTGTGTGTGTGTGTGTGTGTTTAGGTGGAGTTCAAGGTTGAGTACAGTCAGAATGACCGCGAGTACGGCTGGATCAAATTCGAGGGCAACTCCATCAGCATAGACCTGCTCAAACAGGTAAGTAAACCTACACACACTGTCCGGGGGCATACACACCCACATGCACATGGACAAACCTTTTCTGTCTGTCTGTCTGTGCGTCTGTGCGTCTGTGCGTCTGTCCCCACACACAGGGTCTGGTCAAGCTGAAGCCCAACAGATCGCCCGGCGCGCATGACTACGACGGTCCGCCCCCCCCC